TTCAATAGATTTATTAGAATTGAAAACAATTATTTTGACAATCCAAATTCGTTGTTCAAAATGAATAGAAACAATACGAAAATAAGTTGTAATTGGAAAAATAATATATTGTTTATATTGTTTTCCAATTTGATTCGAATCAATATCAAATAAAACTCGATGTAAATCATTTGTATTTGAACTATTTTGTAAAGATTTAAAAACTTGTTCTGGATTTCGATGAGCAATTATAAATGAATTAAATCTAAAATATTTATCATTTATTGATTGTTGTATAAAATCAATTTGATCAATTGTCATTAATTGTCCACGATAAACTCGTTCAGATACAATTGTACAATTTCTTAATTGTTGATCAATATCTTGAAGAAAAAATCTCAAAAGAAAAAGTATTTCAATATTAAATATATGAAGACTTTTAATTAATAAACGATAAAGAAATGTTTCATTAAAAAACCATTCTAATGCATTTAATGATGAATATAAATGTTCAAATTCTCGAATATTTTCAAGTTCACTTATATTATTTTCATAGAATTTTAAACAAATATTTAATAAATATTTTTTATCAATTAATGATGAATTAATTTGTAAAAGTAATAATATTATTTCATCATTATGTATTTTTAATTCAATTGATTCATTTAATTTTTGTTCATCACTTTTACAATCAATATCAATTTCTTTTAATAAATCATTTAATTCAACAATAACAGATCGTACCTATAGAAAAATAAAGATAAATAAATTTGAATATTTATTATAAAAAACCTTTTTATATTTTTTAGCCCATAATTCATTTTTTTCTTTATCAAAACAATAAACAAATATTGATATGACTTGTTTTAAATCATGTATATGTTCAATTATATCTTGACCTAATCGACCACTAACAATTAATATTATTTTATCTTGTTTATTATCAATTGTAGATCGAATATAATCTTCACATTGTTTACAATTATCAAATGTTCGAAGATAATTAACAATAGAACGAAGTTTATCTTGTATTTCTCGATTTCCTTGAGTAGCATCAACCATATTATCAAGCCATATCAATGTTATTAATTCAAGGTTTGGATTATTAGAAGATGACATCAATTCGATGAATGTAACTTAGTTTTACCTTTTTTTTCTTGTAACGGATTATTTCTTTGACAGAATAAAAATTCGTGGTGTTCTTTGCTTTTTCTTTCCTTTTTTTTTCATCAAATTGCAGTAGCAACCGACAAAAAACAATAAATAGCTTTCTTTTCGTTTTATGTGCCATAAAATATTCTTTTAACGTTTCAATAAATGATTGACAAAGTTTCGCAGACAAGTCTCTTTTTATATTTGCTCACATTTATTTTCTATATTAGTCACTAATTGTTAGTTTTATAATATCTGTATAATTTTAGTTTTATCGAAAAATCTTTTCGAATATTTAACATCCATCATTTAAACGAACAAATTTCATTTCATAGATAAGATAAACAATTACACATACGATTTTTAATAAACTTCACTTGTGTATTGTTAAATCATATTGAAGAATAAAACAGATTATAGATAAACTTATCATCTTATTCTATAATAGTTAGATAGATTTGATATGAAATAAATTAAATAGATAGATAGGATTTCATAATATATTTCGATAAAAGATAAAGAATATATTTCAATTTATTTGAAATAAATCGAATGGTGTAGGTCATCATCAGTTTTATATTTCTACGTTTAAATATGTTAGATAGAAAATTTTTTTAATTTATTTTAATAGACAATAAATCATTTAAAGATGAAAAGTTAATCTCAAAATGGTAGTAATTCATTTTAATTATTCTAATAGAATGTTTATATGTTTTAACTTTAATATTAAAAATAATTTATTCTTTTCTCTTTTCATGCAAAAGATAAAAAGTCATTCAAAATTGATTCATTTTGTTCATATAATATCATGAAATATATCTTTTATAAATCAATAAATATGATTAATCAAGTCTAATAATTTTCAGTCAAAATAGAACATCGCTATCGATTAGAAATCGATATGATCATCGTTACTCACGATCCGGACCAGTCACGATCAATATTTAATTTAGCTCTATGAGAATTTATTTTTTATTTTTTCAAATTCGAACTCATATAACTTAAGGTTCGAACTTTTATACTCCACTTCTTCTTCCACCTTATAGACACTCGTCCTTAACGAAGCTTTTCTAGCTGCACATTATTCGTATTAAAATGCAGCAACTAAATCTGAAAGCATAGCAGTGGATGATTTCAATAAGGTAAAATTAACAGTAAGAGTATACCGAAAAAAAAAATTTATAATACCTGATCTGTTAACTATAGAAGTTTCGTGAGTTACAGTCACAGTCACAATTGTGACCATGCGCGATCGTGATCATTTCTAATCGATTTTTTGTATTTTATTCGATCATTCTTATATTTCATCAATTGTAAGTCACCAAGGATTGAATGTTACTGTGACGAAATCAAACACGTTTTGATAAAGTTTTCAGGAGATCATTGCTTCTTTGACAAATATTTATTCGTATTCAAGATCAATAGATTCGTCAAAGCTCAGTATACCAATATTTAACGTATTCAAATCATATGCAATTACTTACCAATTTTTTTTTAATCGCAAACATCTATTATTTGAATGTCCTTATCGATTTTTCAATACATAAACTGACTAATTTGGTTTGAATCTTAATTAATATTCTATATATTTTATGATAGATATCGATTTGTATGTTATTGGTTTCCATATTAATGTGAATATCTTCAAATTGACTTGAAACAAGAATAAAATAAATTCGTTTGAGATATTCTATAATGATCATTTCTAATTATGTATGTTGAATTGTCTAGTATAATCAACAATTGTTACATCGTACATTAAACTGTAAGAATAAATGTATTGATCGATAAAATCAATCTAGAGTCAAACAATTGAAATAAATTATTATTGAAATTCGACCACATTCAAGTATGAAAGTAATCCTTGGAAGTCTTATGCTATTCAGATATATTTATTGGTTCACTAATAATTATATCTATCGAGTATATTCATATTTATATTATCAATTTCGTGATTATTGTTGAATATTCAACAGGTATTCGTCTTAGTCAATAATAAATAGACTCATTCATATTGATGTTGTAAGCTTTTTCAAGTCAATTAAAATTGACTTTTTGAAATTTTTTTTAAAACAATTTCATTGAATAAGGGAAAAGAAAATTTTATGATTATTATCAAGAAGTATCTCAATCTATTGTTGGTATAACTATAAAAAGTGTCCTTAGATAAAATGAAATTATTTTTTAATTCTATGAATAATGTTTCATATTCGAAGAACTTTTTTTATAATTAAACTTTGTTTTTATAATTAATGTTGATGATGTTAAATGATTTATTCATTTAATAAAATTAAAAGAGGAAAAAAAATCAAAGAAAACATTAGAAGAACTTTATCGATGAAACAATTTAAAAGAGTCAAATATCGATTTATTTCATTAAATATATCATATTAATAAATAATTGTTTGATTTTAAACAAATCTCTTATTATATTGTGTAATATTTCATCTATGGCATTTATGTTAATAATTTGTTAAATTTCAATTTATAGAATTTTCATTAAATAATTTATATAACATGTCTCTCTTTTGCACGATTCTATTTAAGTTTAATAATAAATTTAGATTTACATTGTTGAATTAATTATTTTCTATCTATGATATTCAAACAATCTATAGTTGAAACTCATCAAATGTTCATTTCATAGTAAAACATAATGATTAATTATATTTGAAAATTTATCTTCATGATGTGACAAAACAAATGCATTGATATCTAGAGATATTTATAAATTCAAATGTTCAATATTGTCAATTATTTGTTGAAAATGAATTATGTTCGAGAACATAACGAACAACAGTAAAATCTTCGAGAAGAGAATTTGATTATGAATTTCAAATAATAGATTATAATTCGAATGACGCAACTTTTTTTTTTGCTATAATTAGAATATGCTTTTTAATATATATGTCGCATGTTATTTGTACAAAAAAAAGTTCTCTCATTTATATAGGATCATGTTATATAATATGTTGAAATTATTAATTATCAAGTGGTTTCATTTGTAAATCAAGATAAATTTTATTTTAACAAATAAGATAATCAATAGTTAATGAAATTTAATGGAATTCAATCGGTAAAAAACGGTTTTTTTAAAGGGTTAACATAAATTCAATTGAGAATATTAATTATGGACATAATGTTTTCCTTTCTTTTGTTAAATTATTTGTATAAAATGTTACAATCGAACATTATCAATTCGTTGTAACAAAATCAAAAATAAGAATATTATTTAAAGAAGGGTTGACAGTTTCATAAATAGCTCATTGGATTACATTTGTATCATTGATTTTATCATTGACATGAGCTTCATTGTTTGAGATAGAAAATGTTAATTCCCTTATATATCACTGTAGAATGAATACGAGACATAATAAAATATCACTCGAAAAGAAAATGTCACTTTTTTAATTAAAAACAAAAGTCTTTTGATAAAGATAAATAATCTATTTCTCTTAACAAATGTATATTTAAATAAATTAAGATAGTATCTTTTATATTGAAAATGTATTCATTTTAAGAGAGAAAACGTTTCATTTTTCATTATGACTGATTGCAATCAAATTTTTCTTTGTTAGTTAAAGGTTAAAAAAAGGCAATAATTTTCGTTTCGTATTATTTGAATTTGTCATTGGACAGAAACAGTTTGTTCTTTTCCTTCTTGCATTACTTATGCAAAAAAAAACCGTTTTTTTTTTCTCTTTTTCCAGTTGAATACAGTGCATGCTGTTTGTCATTCATGTTGATAAATACTTCTCTTGAATGAATCAATCTTTATTTTCTTTTATTTGTTGTTCTTTCATCTAAAAAGAAAGCCTTTTATTGCCTATATTTCAAAGTTAAATTTAGGATGAAAGTATAAGTATAACATGAAGAAAGAAATTTCTATTGAACCGTTGTTAGTTAAAACTGTTAATCGTCAATCTCCAGATGCAAATCAAGTTCATCCATGGATTCGTTATTTAGTTGCTGGTGTTGCAGCAGCATCAATTTACAGTCTAATCGTTCTTATTCTTTTGCTTGCTATACCAATTATTGTACTCGCTATTGGTGTACGTTATCATGATCCACGTTATTGTCCAATTGAACCTCGTATTAGTCTTTATTTGATTGTTCATGGAAGTGTTGCTTTAGGATTGATTATTCTTAATATTATTATTTCAACGATAACTATTTTTTTCTTTTATCATCGTTCATTAATTTCAATCATTCTTGTCTTAATTTTAAGTATAATTATCTTACTAGGTACTATATTTTCATTTATTTGGTTAATTATTGGAAGTGTTTGGACATTTCGTGTCAATAAGCAAGTTATACATGAATATGATACTATTAATCATTATTATACATATAATTATTGCCATCCTGTTTTATATCGATTTACATTTGTTTATTTAATTTTATCTTATATATTATTAGTTATTGCTTGTTGTTATCAATGTTTTATTAGAATATGCTGTCCAAAAATACAAAAAAAAGAGACATTTGCTTTTCTTTAGAACAATATTTCTAAATAGAAACTTTTTTCAATTGAATTTTTAATTATATATTCATTAAATAAACAGATTTTTTTTGTCAATAGTTCTTCTTGTCCAACAAACGGAAGTAAATGCAATCAATTCTAGATTAAATAGTCAAAATAATAAATGATAATCATTTTTTTCGACAATCAGAACAATCAGCACTGAAATTTAATCATAGATAATTATCAACGAGAACATCCACCAGTGGCGTATGGAGGGGGGGGGGGAGCCCAGGCCCCCCTTGAAGAAAAGTTCCCTGTGGGGGAGTACGGGTAAAAAAAGTACCACAGTACAAATTTTTGAAAAACTCCATTACGGGCCTCTTCCTTGAGGACTTGGCTCCCTTCCCCTTGAAAAATTTCTGCGTACGTCACTGACATCCACCACCGATAATTTAAGCACGCACAAAAAGAATGAAGATAAACGGTGTCAGTATGTGACTTTGCCTTTGGTGTGATTTAATGTCTATCTATCAATGTTATTCTTCTCTAGACATCCATAAAAATCCAATAATTAAAGTTCAATGTTTCATATTTGACAATCAAATTGATGAACGATCGAATTATATCGTTTCATTCAATAAGACATTGAAATGAAAGTGAAAAACAAACCAAATCCAAAGCTAAACGGATTCGTTTTGACTTTTTTAATTGACTCTAGCACATAGTCTAACAACATAGTAAAAAATCATTCTTGGACTTCAATTTTTTGCTGACATAAAAATTTTATGTCATGTGGTTCAATAGATAAATGCATTTTTCTTAATTCATGTCCTTCTATTATTTTTTGTGCGTGGTTTACTTTTTGGTGGTGAAAGTTCTTATGCTAATCGTTTCCATGCTTTATGTACCATGCTCATCATTTACTAATCCCATTTATCAATTATCAAATAACAATTTTTATAATAAAATTGTTTTTAATTCTAAAAATTTGACTAAAAATCTTATGAAAGAATTTCGATTATTTTGAATTCGATCGAATAGGATGAGAAAAATATACTGCTGGATAAAAAAGTGTGCAAATAATGGGTTGTTGTTCTTAAAATTAATAATTCTTTTGCAAGTTGAATTCTCTGGTAAAAGGTAGATGATACAGGAATTAAAATTAAGTTAATTTAATCATGATTAACAATATAAAATTGAATATTTTCAAATATATCTATTTTAATAAAATGATCAATGTCCATTGATAATAGTTTATTTATTTCTTCGAGATATTTTATTTTATATTCTACAAATAATAATTTATTGTTGAATATATGTTTAAAAAAAACTATGGAAATATTGATTAATCAATGAAAACAATGTTTAATTATTCAATAATCAACTAAACTTGTTTGAATAGTTCTTATTTAAAAAAAAATGATCTTGTTGATAATTAATATATAACTGAATATGTTGATCGATTTAAAAACGAATTTATGTTTATGAAATATTATCATTATGAAATAGTTTATCGTTAACAGAATCAATTGATTTATTATTTTAATTATTTGTTTTTATATTCATCTTGAGATTTTCTTTTAAAAAAATCAACAGACGATGATGAAACTTTTAAGGAATTGTATAACAGAGCAATGTATTCACAAATGATTGGATTCAATGACATGATGCATAAAATAGTATTTTAACTCGCAGTTGAGTATTTAGTAAATATTGTAAAGAATAGTCGAATAAAACTGTAAAAAGTCACAAATTATTCGATACCTTTTTACAATAGCAACATTTACTATTTGTTGAAAGTTTTTTTTTTCGTATATATGCTCTTCAGCGAAACATACTTCATCGAAAGTACTTTTTGGCCGCGGAGGGCACCCCAAAGGTGTGGGTGAGAACAAAATTAGTTGACTTCTTCATGCTGAACAAGCCTATATAAGAATTAATTAAAGATAAAATGAGAGATCAACATGCATGCTCTTTATGCCATATTTGCATCTTAGAGAAAACTTATTCTAGATTCAATTGCTATTTGTTGAACATTTTTCATTTTGTTTGTTTCGCTTTGCAGAATGCATCAGTCAGAATATGATCAAATGTAAACCTAACGTAACACTATATTCAACTACCAAACGGGAATTGTTCAAATGAGCTCAGACATACTGATATCGACCTGCTATTAAAGATGCAAAGTCTAGTGTTAGACTAGAATTTCACTTCAATCCTACTACAGAAATAGTTCTTCGCAGAAACCTTTTGTTCATAAGAGGACACACGAGAGATGGCTAGCCCATAAAAAGCAATCGGACTCTTCAATCTTATCGAAATAAGGTATGGAAGAAATTTCTCAGAAATTTTTTCCATATATTACTACTCGGATCTAGCACAATCGAGCGAGTCCTGTATGAAATTGATATAATCACAGAATAGGATTCACCTGGTAGAAAGCGTCACGATAATTGGCATTCTTATAGCGTCTGGCAAACGCAATCCTGCTCTACGCTTCCATGAATTTCAAACAGAATTCAGTTGAATTTGATAGAATCCTAAGAGACGATTTTGACCTGCGATGATAAGAAAATGCGACTATATTACAAAATTCTCTAATTCTGCTTTTGCAAATCCTTCCAATGCTGAGTTTCGTAATAAAAACAGCAAAAAGGAGGAAACAGAGAAGCATTCGCAAGCCGGAAAGAAATTTCAGCGATCAGCGACAAATCATTTTATTGGTCAACTGGCAAAACCATTCCAATCTATTTCTTTTTTCATGTGCACAATAGAATAAAATCCAACGCAATTAACACTTTATAATAATTTATTATCTCAGTTTGTTTGTTTAGTTTTAAATATCTTTGATTTTTCTTATGAATTATGTGATAAGAATTAATTTAATTTTTTAATAAAAATCAAAAATTTGTTATCTTATAGATAAAAATAAAACGAATATGTTAGTTAAATGTGTTTATCCCATGTTGGCAAGTCGATGGAGTTATATGAAATTGATTTCTTGTAAAAGTTTAACTACATCAAATGTATTTTTCGGTCAATCTTCTTCGGGAACAAATCGTGGTGCATCATCAAAATCTAATGAAAAGGGAGAACGTTCGAAAAATGAACAAAAAAGTAATAGTCAATTTTTTCTCTCTCAAATTTCTTCACTATAGATCAACTCAACAAATAATTTCAATATTTAAGATTAAAATTAAATTAATTTTATTTCTCTAAATAATATTTGATAAAGCTTTTTTTTTTTTTGAGAGTTCTTTTTTGTTTTCTTTATAAAGAAAGAATTTTAAAAAGTTCTTTTTTTCTATAAGATCAACGTCAACAAAGTGGAAATAAAGACCAAGGTCAAGCTAAATCTGATGTTGAACAAGAAAAATCTCAACAAGAAGGTCCAGCTGATAAACAAGCTGAACGAATATCATCAACCAAAAACTGATTGATCAATTATACTCATAAGTACAGATTTTATATCAAAAATTTTTATTTATTTCATTTATTTTAGCTTTTTATATTCTTATTCTAGTCAAGCGTCCTTCATATTATCAAAAGTATGACGATATTAACTTTTCTGTTATACTAATCAAGCCTCCAATAGATCTTGTTCATTGTTCTGTCATCGAATTTTAGTTAATTTTTTTTTCGAAAGACGTATTATTTATTCATGCTTTGTTTCATAAAAAGTGACTTAGTTGTTTTTGTTTTTTGATACAATAAAAACTAGATAAGAATATATATATATATATAGTTATTATAATTCAATCGATAAATAATTCGAAGTTTCCAAATAATAATTTTGATAAAACGAGTAAAACATTGATCCATTCGAATAACAGCACTTTTTTTTTAAACGATTCATTTAAACATTAATTTCCTATTACAGTTAATTAATTGAATTTAATAAATGATCAATTAGTGCATTCATAAATTATGATTTGTTGAATATATATTCAACTAAATGATTGTGTTTACTATTGAAATTCTTTTTCAATAGATAATATTTTTTTTATGTCAATCATATTTCAAATAGAGCTCACTGAAAAAATTTATTAAGAATTTTAAAATCTTATTTAACTCATATTAGATTATGAGAGACAATGAATAAGTATTATAAAAAGCAATTGAAAAATTCATCAATTTTATTTCAATGATAAACCAAAAATCATCAATAAGAACATTTTAAATATATTTCGAACGTATTCATTGGTTAGTTATATATATTGTGTCTTGATTTTTATTAATTGTTATTATTAGAAAAAGTAGAGACGAAGTCTTAGATTTCTAATCATTCATCACATTTTAAAAACTATTAGAGAAAAATAAAATTTAATAAAAAGTTGACTAAATTGATATGAGATTCGAAATATGATTGATCAAGAATCAAATTATCGAAAATTTATTCGGTCGCTATTTCGACAGTTTCTACTCGTTATATCTATTGTTATTTTATTTAAATGAATTATTTATTTTATTAATTCGACTGAGTGCACGAAGTGCAGCCACTCGACTTATTGTTTTTCAATCGATTAGTTGTCATGGCAAATTCTTTTTTGTGGTAAGGATCACGATTAAAGTCAGCTACTCATTCTCAGCACCTGAGTTTCATTTCGATTCGGAAAAAAGTTTCCTAAGATCATGAAAATATGACGAGTGCATATCTGAAATTCTTTTTTTTCAAAATTCAACCGCATACGAGAGATATAAATATGCAGAAAACGATAATTAACAGCTGATAACTTCCTGTACAACAAAAATGTTGAATATCAGGGATACTTATAATAACAGACAAGGACATGTACGTATGATAATCAGTTTTCACAACAGCATGAACACAAAATTTTCCGTGAAAGTGTTTTGAATCTAAACAAGTTCTTCTGTCAGTTAACATAAATCCTTCAAGACTAAATTGACGCTCGGTTCAAACATTTCTAGCTAGAATTGAATGAATTTGTCAAAATATTTGAGAATAATAAGGTGATCTATCAATGTTTGTTTTTTCCCAAATGTAAGAGACAGGTCGACAAGTTTGGTCAGGTCGATAGCTCTGATTTAAATAATCTCAATTGTCTATAGAAAGTCATCCATTCGAAATTATTCGATTTCGTGACGTAAATTATCGTACAAACCTTTGTAATCAACGACCTTAAATATATAAAATTTTTTCATTTGACTTTTATTAGAAAAAATAAAAACGTTTTATTTTATTTTATTTTTTTAAATAATATAAGAGTATTTGATAAAGAAATGTTGATTTATTTTGAAAAATAATTTTCTTGTTGAATAAAATCTCTTTTCATTTTAATAGAATAACTAATATGATCAAAAAAAAGAAACCAGTTTGTGGATTCTTCATTGTATTTATTAAATGTTCGAAGTCTTTATGAACTTTTTCTATTTGAAAAATTCTGATTGATGTAGTTACATTGTTAAATTGTTTTGTTACTTCAATTGGTTAAGAATGTTTCTCCAATTGTTAAAAAATGAATCGAAAAAAGAAAAAAAATATTTTTTTGTTTTGATGAAAACTAATCGATGACAAATTGATTTTGTTATTGTTGGAAGATTGTTTAATGGTTTCCTATTGTTCCACATCAAATAATCGATCATTAACAAAATGTTTAATTGAAAGTTCGAATAATTCATCACAATATTTTCATCGTTTTGTTAATATATCTGAATGGAGTGATGGTCTTGATCTTTGGTCTTTATCAGAAACTATTAGAAAAAATCCTATTTCTCAACATTCTCTAGACTTTCATCATGATATTGGTCTTTATTTACCTCGATATGAAAGAGATAATATTCCAGAAATATCACTTGAAAATGAATTGATTTATTCAAAAAGAATAATAAATAATTATCTTCCAGAACGTCTTCGAAAATTATTTAAAAAAGAAAAAAATCTTTTAATAGAAGATCATTCAAATAATTCTTCATCAGATGAACAATTATCATCTATAGAAGATAATGAATTTTCAACATCTATTCAACAATGTTAGTTAACTATATTTCAATATAATTTTTACTAATAATAAATTGATTTCATTCTAGTAAAATCAATTGAAATACCATCAAATAAAGTTCGTTTATCACTTCGTCCAGTTCAATGTCAAAATTATTTACAAGAAAAACAATCAAAACAAATTCAACAACAAAATTATCCATCATTTAATCGAGAAAAATTAAAATCATTATTAAAAGAACAATTAACAAGTTTATTTACTCGAGAAACAACAAATATTAATCATAAACGAACTCTTATAAGAATACCTTTAGTAGAAATAAAACATCGAAATTTACCGCCTAAAACAACTCCAATAATAGATCCGACATTAATTATGGAACGATATAATAAACTACAACAATTATTAATATCACGAACACCTAGTCAAGCAACAATAAATAATAAATTGATGAATAATCATCAACCTCCATTAGGTTATGATGAAATGTCAACATTTGGTTTAAATGTAACACCAATTGGGTTTTCTTGTTCGAAAAGTTTTGAAAGTTCTTTTTTGGAAACAAAATTTGAACAAGAAAATTCTTCATTAAAAACTCGTCGATCAACTCAACAAGGTTAAATTTATTTTTTGTTTTTAATGAAAGCAAAAAAATTGAAGTTGTTTTGTTTTTTGTGGTAGCTTCTTTTCGTTGTTCGATTGATAAAAATGAAGATGAACAACGAATTATATCAAAAGGTAATATCGAAAGTGGATTTATTGCATCATCTGGTAATTTTGTTCTTTCAAATAAAAATTCCAATGATGAACAAACACAAACAATACGAAAATTCTATCGTCATCATCGTTCATCATCAAGAAATCGATTTCAAAGATCAAAAACTTTCGATTTATTACCAGCATTGGTTTCTGGCAAACGTCTTCATATTCCAATTCCAAATCAACGAAATTCATAAACTATTTTTTTTGTATATTCAATTAAAAAAGAACAAAACAAAACATATTCATTAAATTTGTCTGTATGACCCGAATGTTGTTGTTGCTAATAATAAATCTCCATTGATTTATTGTCGATAATTGAACAATGACAACTAATAAACATGAGTATTAATATTGTTTACGAAAAATAATGTTAAACAATCATTGAACAATCAACGAAATATTTTTAATTATTAAAAGTTTAAGTGATCTCATAGATAATTTTATTCTATTTTATATTGATTTGTTATGGATTCCGAATAATTTATTGATAGAATTCCCATGATATTTAATGTAAGGGAAAGTCAGCAGTCGATTGGACTTTTTTCAAGAATGATTCGCCCCATTCACTGAACCAACTAGGACCTTGATCAGGATCCTTGGAATACTTAAAACTGGGTTGTAAGCCAGCATTTCCTCTCACAATTCGCTTCACAATCTCAGCTGCTCACAGAACGTAAGTCAATCGAAAGAGTTCGTCCAGCTGCACCGAATGAGCTAAATCTCATCAATGACTCAGATCGTCAGAGAAAAGTTTTAATTGTTTTTTTTTCTCTATAGATAAAAATTAATATCTCTGCTTTCATTTGTGTCGGTTAGCTTTCATAAAAATATGAATACAGCTTTCGATAGAGCTCGTCAAGCTACATCTGACTTATTGCATTCCTTAACTAGCTCAGTGGATGAAGCGAATCGTTTTTGAAAAAAGTCTCATCGACTGCTAACTTCTCTTACATAATATATAATAGTTTTTTCAAGAATCAAATCATTGTTTTTTTAGAGGATAAAATGTTTAACTAAGATCTTCTCGAATGTTTTCATAGATAAAAATATTTTCGTTTGATTCTTTAAAGATAAACGATTGAATATTCATAAGACTTTTTTTCTTTTTTGTTTCATGTATATGTTTTTTTATTAATTAATAAAATAAAAAAACGAAAACATTTTCGATAATTATTTTCATTGATAATTGTCATTACGATGAATTTTTTTAATTAAATAAGAAGACAAAACTGTTATTTCGAAATTATCAAATAAACAAAATTCTATTTAAGAACTTTTCAAAAAAAAGAAAATCTATTGTAATATATTCTTTCAAATCTTTTTTTTCTTATCTATTGACGTTTTCTTTTAGTTAAACGTAACGATATAAATAATATCCAGTTTAATTTCATAGATTTATCTTTCTATATATTATTATATATAATGATCTCTTAGAACAAATTAACAGAAAATAATAGAAAAATAAATAATAAATTAGACAATGATGAAAAACAGATAATTAATTTGTAATTTTACATAAAAATAATAATTAAAACAATTGATCAGAATAAATCATGATAAGATTATATTTGGAATAAAAATCTTGAATTTGAATTATATTACTTAATAAAAACATATATATTTTGACTTTATTTTAAAATTTGATAGAAATTATTTCTAGATAACATATCAAAATAAAATATTTGTTAAACACAATTTATTTAATAAAAATATAAATAAAAAATATTATTGTATTTGTCATAATTGAGTATTAATTTTATTTTATGGAATAAATATAATTCTTTTATTAAATCTTCTAGAATCAAAAGCATAAAGTGCTAACATATATGTCGTATGAGGTGAATCATTAGTATAAACTTAAATTTTATATTTTGAAGATGAAATTATAATATCAGTTAATATTTGATAAAAGCGAGTCAGAATATAATTCGGTCTTTTCCCATCTCGAATTTCAGTTATTCAAGAACCAACTTTATTTATGTAAACGGAATTTTATTAAAAACTAAATACGAATATATATAAATATATCAATCTTACTAAATGGTGACCAAACGTTTTTAATTCAACCTATTATTTGATGATATGGATAAACAATAAGATTAATTAATCGATTAAATGAATACTTTGATGATGATTCAATTCGATAAAGTAAATTTTTTTCTGATTGATCATAAACTGAAAATTGATTTCGTCTCAATTCTGATAAATATTCATGATATACAATATAATCTCGAAGACTTTGTCTACTATCACTTGATACAATCAATAAATAGACATATAATATTATATTTAAATATTTTAACATAACACGATGCGTTATTAAACAAATACTTTAATCAATATTATATCTATAGATCAATTTTTCTTTACTATTTATTCTTAGATAAAAACAATAAATAATTATTAGTCTCTATATGATCTACGCATTAAAATAACAACAACAACAAAAAAGACAAAAACGAAATTTAATCTTTAGATTTACAATCATTTGGAACATGATCATTTTTATTCATTTTTGTAGTTGTATTCAATTTAAATAGGATTAACAAACACTTTCTTATTAATGTCAAACATTGTTTTATTATTTAATTCTAATCTGTTATAATCGATTTCTGTTTTTATCAATGATAAATATCGTCATAGAATATTTCATTTATAGATAATAAACTTTTTTTTTCTAATTATCATAGAACAAGAATATTAAATAAATAATAATAGAGAAATAAACATTTGACTTAACTCAAACATTTAATAATCTTAATAAATATCAATAAAAGAGAATTATGTTCTCTCATTATTATGTTAATTAAAATTAATTACCTTTTTTTTCTGTCTCGAAACTTTTATTTTTCGTCGATTACTCTTCATATATGCTATTTATTATCATCGAATTAGTGAACGAATTTTTTCATTTCTTGAAGTATTTTTCGAACTGTTCAAGTATTCTTCTTATGAGTTACGTTATGTCAAATCGAACTAAAACCTTTTTTTAAAAACTACTAATAAATATTTTCATTTCAAATTTCTTTTTCTATTTTAATTAAAACGATATCTGTTATCTGAATAAGTAAGTTTTAACTTGATTAGAGAGATAATATCGATAAAAATGAACAATTATATTTAACTCTTTTTTATTGTCATTCTCAAAATTCGAAATTTTGACGAATCTCTTCTTAAGCAAGGCTAAAACTAGGTCGAATGTTCTTACATTCGCTTTGAATTCGATCAGTTTTTTTTATTATTTAGCAATAATTCAACTAGGTGATCTATTCATTTTCATTTAAACAATATCTGTAGATTTTTAACTGTGATTAAACTTTTAGCGATGCATAATAGATAATTTTTTTCGATATTAATGAATGCTATTAGATTGAAACCCTCTTTAACGAATTTATTATTTATCAAAAGAAAAATCTAAAAAGTGCTATCATATTCAAGAAGAAAATGCTTTTTCTGTACCATCAATCGATAAGACCTATGTGTTCAAATATGACAGATGGACAAATTAGATTTTTTTCTTTTATTATCATTGTGATTACTAGTTGACAAACATGTTTCAATGCAAGTTTAATTATTTGTTTCATATGTATTAAACAAAATGATCGAACATTAAAGAAAATCCTTAGACAATAGTCAAAATATCCAAAGAATGAAAGAATTATGCGAGATATGACTATTTCAACATAATCTCGATAAATTTATGTGTCCAATTCGATTATTAAACGAAACGATGTGCCTAAATTGTAATAAGACTAAGCATATACTAGTTTTAATTCAAAGAACTGATTACAATTCGATTTGAAATTAATTGTTGCAGAATTAAGAAATTTTTGACATATTAAACGTGAACAGAATAATCTTATCATCCAATTAATAATGTTCAGAACTTTAGTGCATATGTGTCAATCGATATCTATCGTAACAAATCATTTCTTGAAACAAAATCATAACAAAAAAGAGCATTTGGTCATAATGTGTTAAAGATAAAAAAAAAGAAAATAAATTTTTAATAGCAGGACTCTTAATTGCAAGACAGCATTCAGATATTCAGATTTCAACTATTAATAGAAGTGACGCACTTTTGCGAAGTTGACATTGTTATTCGAACTAATAGATTGTCTAAATTTGTTATTTTTTGGATCGGTAGATGCACTCCTCTCATCGCTTGTCGTTGATAAATTTGAATAAAAGCACAAAAGACGCATACCTAGACAGAGTCGATTTCTCAGTGTTTCATTAAGTACCAATAGTGTGGTCAGTGTTTACTGAGTGTTAGTGTCTCAATGGGTATTAGTGCTGCAGTGAACATCGATAACTGTAATCAGGGTGGTTCGTGAATGTCAGTGATAGTGTCGATTAAAGTGATCTCAGTATTTTCACTAAAAGTGTACATTCCTAATAGAATTTGACTTCCTCTTTAAAAACAAGAGCGAGTACGATCAAAACACAACTGAACAGTTTTCTAGAAAATCGTTTTCAAAACCTTCAGTAAATATTCATCATCGTCGGTTAATTTCAAATTGATCAAATTTAACATAGTTTTATATCTTCAACATTTCTCCTATCAATGGTGAAAACCGCAACTCATTATCTTCTTTCTATGAAAAATTATTCAGCAAACAACCATACTCATGACTTTTTGAAAACGAGGATCATTTCTGTTAGATCTTCTTGCTACAGCTGTTTGTTCAGTTTTTTTATACATTTTTTTATGTAAAATCCGTGAACACTTAATAAAATATTATCGAAAACTTACGATACTATAGATGGAATTCAGGAAGCCAAAGATACTTATACAATACAGATTAAACAAAAAATGATCGGTGATAATCAGTGAATACAGCCGATTATTCGACGATAAATTCGTCAGTTGTGCGATCGGTATGCCGTTGATTAATTGACATCTTTTTTGCAGTTTGGGTCATAATAGAACACTTCTTCTATAATTCTGATTTATTCTCCATGTCGTCAATTTTTTATGAAACTCGATGGTTCATCATGGTTCAGAAAAAAAACGATAGTTAAAGTAGTTCGGTCCTTTTTTTTTAATTAGGCTTGTTATATTTTTTTTCTATTAAATTAATACTTGCTCTATTGAAGAGGTTGACTGCTACTACTCAAAAATATCGATTTTAATATGCCACAATATATTGTGTCAGATGACATCACACTTTCTCCTATTTGTTGAGTCCGCTAATGAATGAATATTTTTGTGGCACGATCTTTAATAAATAATCAAACTTGAAAACTAAGCAAAAACAGTCGATGTGGCTCGTACAGGTGGCTTGAGTACGCCCACAATAGTAGAGAGTCGAAGTTTTGACTAAAATCTAATATTTTGCTAAGAGCTTAATAATATTCAGACAGTAAGATAGAAAAAAAAATCAAACAAAAGAATCGTAATTAACCGAATAGTTAGCCTTACTATTGATCAAGTGGTAGACCGTGGTTAACGGCTGACTTTCGACCTGTTGTTGCAACATGGGTTTGTTGGATACAGAATAGAGTTTTTTGTTGAATGATGCTCTTTTTAATGAAAGTCATCAGAGAAACTTCGAATTTTTAAGACTTTATGAATAGTTTATATTGGCATATCAGAGAAATCAATATATTAGTATTCAGTGTTAAATAAATTGACTATCTATTATAGATGCTAGTTGGCATGAAATGATAAAGCAACGTCGAATATGTCTTTTGCTCTGACGTTTATATATCTTACGTACTTTGGTGAACCATTTATTGTCAACTGTATTTGTATAAAGAAAAATATTGATAGACATATAGAAGATTGTATTACATGGAAATAATATTTCCATTTGTTTATCAATCTCATTGTTAAAATTATTTCAATATCTAAATTAAATCTATCACGTATTGAGGTATATACGTAAATGCATAGTTTATTATGAAAAAAAAAAGAATATGTATATCTATCGCAATAGACAACGATACTGCATAGTAGATAACATTATTATGTAATAGACAAAATATTAATATGTAATAGAGAACAAGATCAAGGTTAAAAGATAATGCTTGTTTGACCTTCATCAACAATACAAGATATAGTTGAGATCACGAAAAGATCAAAGAAAAAAAATGAAAGAACGAAAAGAAAAACAACACACACACACGTATATGTATACATTTCGCGTATTGCCAAGATAGAACGAAAAGAAATAGGAAAATCAACAAAAATAAAAAGAAACGAAACAGAAAAGAAAGCAATAGTTAATGTCAATACATTACAAAATCTATGAACTATATGTCGTTCGATTTTAGCATAACAGAAGGTCTCTTTCATTATTTCATTACATAGCAGTTATTGTTATTAATTTTCTTGAAATTTTATGCATTATTAGTAAAAGATAGATTATAATAGCGAGAATATTATACTTTAATGTCTGAAAAAAGTTTCTAAGTCAATCTTTTAATCTTTAGATGATGAATGAAAAGAGTTCAGTTCGAAATTCTTTTATGATAACTGCAGCTGCATTAATTCGTCTACGATTTTATCGAATTTCTTGTGTCGTGCTTCATCGATAGGATACTTTCCCCAGCGATCTGTGTGTAGTGCATCTTCAAGTCGATATCGAATGAGTGCTTGTATTACATTCAAATGTCCATTTGCTGCAGCAAAATGCATGGGAGTACGACCATGGTAATCCGCGTAAAGTTTCGTTCGAAGAAAATAACCACGAGCAAATAATCCATCGATTCTTTCAACTGCACCAATTCCCGCCAACGTACAAAAGAAGAATACTTTTCTCCATTTTTGAAATAAACAGACAGTAGCATGGTCCTCGGATTCTATGTCGTCTGAATCGAATATTTTCTCATAAGTTTCCTTAGTTTGAGTAGGTATCATTTCATTGACAAAGTTACAGATGTCAAGATGTCCATTACGATAAGCTTCATCTAATGGTGTTATATGCCATCGATCTTCTCGATTCATTATTCTCTCAAAATCAGAACTTTGACATTGTTGAGACAAAAAACGAATAGTTTCAAGTCGACCTTCAGCAGCAGCAACATGAGCTGCCGTACGAAAATCATAATCAACACATTCGAGCGCATTTAGTTGAGGAAATTCTTCCAGGAAGTTGGCCATTACTTGAATGTCTTCTTGAGCTGCAATCATGCAGAACAGAGTAGGTAAGAGACTTTCGTCCATACTTATCGAATATTCTTCGTTGTCCTTTCTTTTCTGTGCGTTGGTTTTGTTCTTTAGATTTTTTTCGACGACAATTGCTAGAAGTGTTGATTTTTTTCCTGATGTTTTCACAGGTATATAATTATTTGCGCGTTTTTGTAATAAATAATCAGCGATAGTCGGATCGGGTAAGCGCGAAGCATAGTCCATGGCTGTTTGACGAAAATAATCGGGTACATCTAAGCAGACAAAGAATTCTTCCACTAGATAATATACAATATCGAATTGGTTAGTAATAACTGCCAAGTGAAGAGCATTTCGACCCTCATAATCACTCGCATTTGGATTGAATCCACATGCAAGCCAATATTGAATTGCTTCCATATTACCTTCATACACAAATGCATTGAGATAATATGCTAATTCTTTTGATTTCGACGATGGTAATCGAGCACCATGTGAATATAGAAACGGTAGTAAATGAAATTGTCCATTCCATAAAGCATCAAATAATGGTGTATTACCAAATTTATCAATCGAGTTAACGTTGATTTTGAGACTTTCAACAAGCCATTTAGTTATTTTCATATTACCTTCCGAAGCACTTATGTGTAGTGGACTACGTAAATTTTGATCGGTCGAATGAATATTGACATTTTCTCTTACTAACATTTTCATATGATGCAAATCATTATGATAAACATATGAACACATTAAAATAGGAACAAATATTTCGTTGATTTTTGAAAGCTCTTCCCATGTTATATCTACATTATCAGTTGATGCAAGATGTGCTAGACGACTTATAAATTTAAATTGAGCTTTCACTAATTGTGAAAGACGATATCGATGATAATGATCTTCAGGAATACTGACGGCTGTTAATTGCACAGCAATCAGATTTTTCGAACCAGCGATAAGACAGAATATCCAACAGATTACGGTGAATGGAAACGTCAGTGTTGGCATACCAGCTGGAACGAGAAAAGCTGAAACACCTGCTTGTAGAAGTATGGTCATTACTGAACCATAGAGTGTTAATAACCATATTCTGTATCCATTGAGAACAAAAAACATACCACCTAATGCTTGACATGTTAAAACTGGATTGTAGCCCCATAATCCAGCATGAATTGCTGTTGCAGGCAATCCCAAAAGGTAGGCTGCAGTTAATTGACCTGTAACAGCGCCAAAAAGAGCAAAAAACGAAAGAATTCGAGAACAAATACCAACACCGACAAGAATAATCGCACCCGTATATGGACTTTCAATAAAATAAACTTGTGCAATACTAGCAAAGAAACCAACAAAGTTATCTTTAGCCGTATAGACAGGAAAAGACACATTTGAGAGATGAGGTTTATTAATTAACGTAGATAATAATCCAGGAGACAAGATAGTACCATTTACGAAAAAATAACGGAATTTTAGAGCACCTAGAAGCCACATCCAAGTACATATTTGAAAGCTAAACGTAAATGGCGAGAGTTCAAGTCGATGAACAAGTATTTTACTGATTGCCATAGCAAAAATAGTTGAAAACATACACATGATCACGATAGGACCAATCATTTGAGGAGAATGAGGAAAACTAAAATAGGCTATTCCCATAGCTGTCAGACATCCATTATAACCATACAATCCAGCTCGAATTGAATTAAAAGTAAATCCAAGCATATGAGCTGTTAATGTTGACACACACGTTCCAAGAAGACCATACAATGCTAACTCCCAATTCCCAATAAATAATCCAATTGTAATAATAATACCTGACAATGGATTATTAGCAAACATCACCTGACCAATACCTCGAAAAACTGAATCCATGAAAATAAAGGCAGGTCGAAATTCTTCGTAGTAGTGAAGAAAATCGTCTCGTGCATAAATTTGATCCATACCAGACATCGTTCCAATAAGGGTACGCCAAGTTAAGTGATATTTCTTGTGACGAGGAGGTCGACGTCGATCAACATAGGAAAGAATCTGTTCGACTCCACGAACGTCTTCCTTCAATGGCTGTTGACCCGGCAGTGTAGAAGTAAGGAGAGTTTTCTGTTGTCTTGTTGGACCCTCACCAAGAATATTTTCTAAATTTGAACTTTGATACGTAGACCATGCTCGTGCTTCAGCTGGTTGTTCATTTTGTTCGTCAGGTATAACATTTTGATTGGAATAAAGAAAATCAGAAGGATCTACAATAGGAATAATCCATGACCATGCTTCGTTGACGTTCGTTTGATCGTCTGTTAATTGAGACATATGAATCTGTTCGGATGAGTTGCTTACTAAAACAAATAATTTCCTTGATTAAATGCATATGATCTATCACATTATTTGTCTTAGATATAATGATTGAAATTTTACAAAATAATTCCAAATGTTTTTTACTTTTTTACTATAATGCTCTTCAAAGCTCTTATAAAATTACAGAACAAAACGACTGATGTTAACAGAAATAAATCAAACGCAGCAAGACGAATAACAAGATCGAAAACGTTTTGCATATTTTTTTTAACTGTTGTCTGATTTTTATTGTCATTCATAATCAATATATTTCAAAATATCCAAAACTAGAAGTATCCTATGCATGTAACCGTATCTTGCCTTTATGCACATGTCGAAACACTATGTATGATTCTAATGTATCATAGTTATCTTTGATTCTATGCTAAACACTATTGATAGACTAAGGAGAGTAGAAAAACAATCTTAACACTTTCTTCTCATGTAAAAGTCCGAATAAATAATAAACTAGAATCTAATACTATCATCGATTTTAATATGCTCTTCACGTGGAGTATTCATTCTGGGGATATTTCAAATATCATTATGTTAAAACATTACTTACAATCTTTTTCGAAAGTTTATCTAATTTTTTTCAACGGTGACTTGCTATAAAACCACTTTTAAAGTGATGAAAAAAGCTAAAATCGACACACTAGATAAAATGAAAATAGAAATTATGATGCCAATAAATATGATCAGGTTCTCTGACTAGTGCTCGTTCCAAATCAGTAAAAGATCTGCTAAAGTAAATGGAAGAGTAGAAAAGAACGTAATACTAGCAGTCTTCCACACTCAAGTTAATCATTCTAAATCGTAAACCATCCTATACCAATAAATTACAAAGGATAACGGGGATCATTATCAGATGTAGTAGATGATCAAAGACGAAGTCTACGATTGTCATAAACAATGCAATTAAAATCTATCATTAACGACTACCAAATATTATTATGGTCAGTATGCAGTTCATCGAAAGTCACGTCATCGAAGTTCGGCAAGCTACATTTTGAAGACGTCGTTTTCAAAAATGTGACTATTGGCAATCCCTATTTTCGATGACCGAAGCTATCAGCAATATTCTGAGATGATATACCAACAAAAATCATCAAAAATTAGGAGGTGCGAGTCCCGTTTTGCATCGAGTCTACCATTTTTTTTCGAATATTTTTTTATCATTTTGTAGAGAAAAAAAAGCTGCATAACATATGTAAAATTCAGCTTGGGTCCTCTTGATTCTAAAACACAGCAGCAGATACATTATTGTATTTGGATTGATCAAAAATACTCTCTTTAACTCATACTGACTTTATAAAACATGAGTTGCTAAACATTATGTTATCTCCAAGTAGCTCATTTTGTTCAGTTTTTAATTCTCTGTCTTTTGATATATACTATAAAAAATTTCAATGATACGTTCAAACGCAATCCGGCATACAATTATAGAGTATTTTTTTCTTTTTTTTTTCAAAAAGATACGATAGTGGCAAAAGTCGGTATCGGCTAACTTTTCAAAGGAAAGATATTAGAGCCTAAAATTGTGGGGTTGGTGGTTTTAGATATTGATGCGTTGAATGAACAAAAAAATCCAAAAAATTTTTTTTATCGAAGGTCTCGTATATTGGACTGGTATTTGATCAGCTCATGGATCCTCTCTTAAGGACATATTCTACGTTGATTAATTTCCTAGTTAGACGACTAACTTCCAGAGAAAGAAATAAAACTCTCATCTTAAAGACTTTTATCTAACACATATTCTGAATTGAAAAATAATAGCAAAATATGTATGACCCACTCACATGACTGCTCTTTGCCAATCATCATATTAAAATGATAAGTAAGCCTGCTGATTACACACTAAGATACTAATTTTCTAATTATCAGCCGTGCGTGCGCAGGATTTATCATTTTACCTTTTGATTTTTTTTTCTTTTTTCTTTAACGGTTACACGTTTGATTACCTTACCGAGTAGGTGTGTGAAGTTGATGTTAATATCTTGTCACGTTATTCAATAGGTGATCACTGAAGATTTGCGCGTTTGATTTATGCGTTAAGGAAAGAATATTTTATGAAAATAAAAAAAGCGTATAAAACTGGACCCCAATTTTTTTTTGGACGAGAAATATGAATTTCTACTCAGTTACTTGAAAGGTTAGGGATGCATAAGAACGTATTTTAATTTTGAAGGTTCTGTAGACACCGGTTAAGAGAAATAGCGAAATAGGAGGAGAAATGTGAAACGGAGTGGAGGCCACAATAAATTCAGTGATTGGAGATCAATAAGATTTATTTGTAATAAAGCATGGATCGTTCATACTTTACAGACACTGAATCCTATTGATCCACCATCATGGATTTATTGTGGTCTTCATTCTGTTTCATATTATTTTCCTTAATTCGTAGTTTCCCTTAAATGGTGACCACAAGGTTTAGACTAAGTAAATCATACATAAAATGAAACGGTGTAGATAGTATTGAGGATGATAGTTAATAAGCTATAATAGTATTAATTGACATGTTACTTTAAAAATTAATGTTTGCTTTTTTTTTTTTAAATAAAACAACAAATATCCGATGTATTTATTTTACAAAAAATAGAAAAATGAAGCTTTGCTATAACGCATATAGGTATGAAGAAAATATTAAAAAATGTCTATTTTTATTCTCAATTGATTTCATTATAGATAATATATAATGTCAAATGATTGACTAATACTGATGATATTTTTTGATAAACTTTATTGAAGAATTGTTTGATCAACGATTTTTGTTAATTATAAATAATAAAAAAGAACAAAGATAAACTCAATATAATAATGAAATTTTTAAGAGAAAAAAAATATCGACTTAAAACAAGATAAAGATTTTTTTAAATAAATAAATAAAATTCGATTAATTAGTCTTTTTAGTTTTTCTCATTAAAGAGCAATTACTGAAATAATCACATCCAATGGTTATTTTTCATATAATTAGTCAGATCGAATTAATTCGATTATATTCGAATAGAATTTCTCATAATTAGACGTAAATATGATCATTCATAGTAACTTGTTCTAGGACTTACACGAGAATATCATTTGACTTTTTAAAAATTATTGACAAACTTTTCTTCTTCTATTCATAATGATAAATTCAAGATAAGTCCTAGTTCATCATATATGACAATGATTCGATTTGTTCGTTGATATATGACATTTATTAATAATTCTATAGTAATATTTTTAATTATTGATCAATTATCATAGTAAGAATTGTTCGTTTTCTCGTATAAATAAAGCTCGAACTTGTTGGTTTTTTTTCTGATGAATTATTAAAAAATTGGAAGATTAATGATAATCTAATAATTGACCATGCCCGTTGACCTTGACATATTTAATTATATCGAGAGGAGAAAAATAATATAAAAAATATATAAATATGAAAGAAAGAAAAACTTAAATTTAATTCTAAAATAAATTTGTTTCGTTTTGTTACTTGAAGAATTGCGTCTTTTGTACTTAAATAAATTTTCAATTCTTAAATTACGTATTCAACGATTAGTTGATCATTTTCATTCATGTCTTAGTTGTTTTATTAGAATTAATTCTTAATTAAAGATTAATATATAACAGTTTCTATATTTGAGATTATCTTTCCAATAATTCATTTAAAGAAATATATTTTTCTTGTTTTTTTTATACTGCATCGGCAAATAAAACGTGTTATTATTCATATTTGTTTTAATCATTTAATAGAAGAATTTTTTTTTTTACAAAAGACTTATTCATCACAGAAATAGAAAAGTAAATTTTGAGAATTTCTTTTTGTTGAATAAAAAGAAGACGAGAAATCAATTTGTGATAGTCTTTCTTACTTATAATATTAAAATAATATTATATATCAAGTTGATATATATTTATACCAAAAAAAAAAAGACAGATGCTCTATATGAAATATATATATTTAGTATTATATTGTTAGTTATAGAATATTTTTATGCATATCTATTTAAAACATTCAATATGTAAACGTAGTCAGTTACTTGAAAGCACTAATTGTGTGTTTAGTTTGAGTAATATTTACTATCTAATATGTAATATGTATGATAAAATAAAAGCTAAAATGATTACACGAAGAGCGACTGACGTAATCGATGTGTATTCAAAATGATATTTATCTCGAAGATCTCCTAATTAGATATATCGATAGGTCTCAAACTGTTATTTGCATTCGTTTCAATTTCATACCAATATTTTGCCTCATCAATTAAATAATCTTCATTGTTGATCAATCGAATTTGAATATGGTTTCGATGGTAAAAGTAGCTGGTGATCTTGTCAGAATATAGTGGATGTTGCTTCAGATAGATCCCCAGTGACCTATCATACAATTCATATATTGAAGATTGTTCATCGTTTGGTCTATATATTCTATGAGCAACTGTTATTTGAATTGTATGTTGACGGTTGATAGGTACTTAGGCCATATGTACAAGGTTTTCTATGAACTGATTGATGATTCTATGACTGATTTGAACTTAATTGATAAGACAATAGTTGATGATTATCGATTTGGCAAGTTGATAGTTGCTGGTTGTCTAATTGTTGGGTCCGTGATGGACTCAAATGTATCTCATATATTGATGACTCGTAGATTTCTCGTTGATAATTTGTTTATTTTTTCGTTGGTTTGGTGATGAATATGTCATTCATTAATATATGATTGATTTTTCTGGTAAATAGTAGAAACCTTTTTGACTCGATGAAATTTCTATGTTATCTGATTTTTCTGTTTGAATTCAGTTCAAATATTGATCATATGCTATAAATTCACGAGCATCTCATCGATTTGTAATCAACTGTTTGCTTCTCGGTTGGTGTGTCCAAGATGGATTGCTGTTTGAAAGATCGATCGATCAATAATTGATAAGTCATCACCTCTTGATACTGATTTGATAAAGTTATAGAGAGACTTTTTATTGTTGAAAATATTTTCTTTTCTTCCTTTGTGTTGTTATATTGATTTCCTTCAAAATAAAGTCATTTGTTCATACAGATGAGTAAATCATGAGCATACAGTTTGTACATCTACATTTTAGAAATACTTTTAAATCCATAGAAGGCATCAGCCAATTGGCCATAAATAGTAGGTATTATATCGGTATCATCTCGAAGATTAACAGTATTGAAAATATATTCACCAAACGAATCGTTATCAGACCCGAAGATCCATAAATCCACTATCGAAAGCGTTAACAGTGTAACTCTTGTCTTGAATTCCATCGTCATAACTATTTGATTGTTTGTATTAAACATGAGCCACACGAAGTATTTCTTAGTGAAGATTAGCTGAACCAAATCATTTTAGATGAGTTTCATAGAAATCGTTTCTTAAAAGTTCATATTTGAGTTTACCATGAATAGCAGCTACGATAAGTGTAACGTAATAACGACATACATCGATCGCTTTTCTTTTTCATGCTTGAGACGAGCACTACGATCGGAGTATTCACCAGCAATTGCGGCAAATTTATAGAAGAAAAGTGAAAGTGAAGTCAGACACATAAGAACTCTGTTTCCAGCTATAATCGATGTTCTAAAATTGATATGGAAATTTTAGATAAATCGAATCTGATCTCCTGACAAATAATTACCATCATATTCGTTGGAACAATAGAAAAACTTACTAAGAATTTTCTGACGACTCGAAAATGTAGTGAATGATTGACGAGTTGCATTGCAAGTATCGAAGCAATCATTTGTAGATGACAAATATTCATGTTTGAACCATCACTTATAACGGACCATTTGATCGTATGGATCTTAACTGCATTTGTTGATTAATGAAGAATCAAAACATAATGTTATCGAAGTATCATCTGTCTACTGGCCTATCTTGAGATTTCAAGTGCCTCTATCTTCTATATCTCGAACTGAGTTATAGATAAAATATTGCTGAGAATGAAATTCTACACCTGCTCATAGTACATCACTTACGGAAAGTCTCACAAGAAAACCAATGAATTGGTTCAGAGTGTTAGCACTGTTTGAAACTACGGATGGCTCGACGTATTCTATTTGATGTGGAAGTACACGTTCATTAACTGAAGGAAACTCCATTCTATAATATAAGATATCAACGAAAACAGAAACTAAGAGAGACAAACAGACATAAAAATTCAATATTGTCGATTTTTGCGTATAAAGAGTAATCTAGTTTTTAAATGAAATAAAGAAATTAATTTGACAATTTATAATAAATAAGTTATTCTTCAACTATGATTTCTTTCAAGATCAATATTCTTGGCTAATATTAACAGAAAAAAAAAGATTATGAGAAAAAATATTTCAGTAAGATCGTCAATTGAATGGCCACCGATATTTAACTAAGAAAACTGCGAAATCAATCATGCAAAAGTAGACATTTGAGAAGATCATTGTCGAAACAACAGATATATGATTCATTTCAAAATTAACTGACTATATGATACGCTTAATTAATCTAAAAATAAATCTAAATGAGTTTTTTTGTTTGTTAAAAAATCCAAGTAACTGTAAATAATCGTTGAGAAAAAGCGTGTGTTATCAATATGATCGGTCAAATGTGAATATATTGAAATAAAACAACATGAAAGATAATCAAATAATATTTATTCATTAATTAGATATAAAACAAAATAAAAATTGTTTGAATTTTCTCAAGCAAAATGTTAAATATTACTTGTCAGCGATGGAGAAATGGACGATTCATATCGCTTTTGCCAACATTCTCCTTCATATGCAATCCATTTGCTTAGTTTTTCCATGAATTTTTTCGCATAGACATGCTTCAGCCAACGTTCAGGTAATTCTTGATACCCATAATAAGCGCCAGCCAATTGTCCATATATAGCAGCTGTTGTGTCTGTATCATCGCCAAGATTGACAGCAGCAAGAACGCCTTTTTCAAACGAATTCTTATCAGACCAAAATGCCCATAACGCAGCTTCTAGAGCTTTAACTATATAACCTTTGCCTCGAATACCAGCCTGATAGCCATTTTTTTTGTATGATCCTTTAGAAATAGACTCTATATCAGGATGAAGTTCCTTGTCGTTAAACCATTTTTTGTGCTTTACGTAAAAATCATCATCGAGTAATTGTTCCTTTGTATAACCACGGAGAGCAGCAACAATTAATGCCCCATAGTAACGGCAAGCATCGTATGCTTTCCTATCTCCATGAGTGATTTGTCCACTACAACCAGAATATTCGACAGCTCTATCAGGAATTCTATAGAAAAAGAGTGGTACGGGTGCGAGACGCATAAGAGCTCCATTGCCCGCTACTTGGTCTTCACTGCAATAAACGTTAAATTGATTGAGTAGTTCATGATTAGAAAGACAATCCATATATTTAATTGGAATGTTGGATTGCGTGGCAAATAGCTTTTGACGATTTCCAAATTCTCGTAGAGATTGACTAGTGGCTGCGCCAATATCAAAACACTGTCCAGTTGATGACATATATCCGAATTTGTACCACCATTTGTAGCGAACTAACTGATCATAAGGAATAAAATCACGACGAGCTATCAATGAATTAGCTAAGCAAAGAGCCATTGAAGTATCATCGGTAAACTAAAACAAATGTTTTTTGTCATTTAAAATAAAGTCATATCTATCGACATATTAAAATATAATTGTTTATCAATTAATTTGAGCAGTATCAATATGAAAGAACCTTTTCGTTTTTAATATAGATTCAATAATACATTTTTTAAAATTATCTATTGACAATAATTCTCTACGTAAACATAAACGAAATTTTTTCAGTGGAAATATTTTTTTTTTCTGTTGATTCCCTTAGTATGTAACAGCCAACAATACAATCATATTTCAAAGAAAAATTTGTTTTTTTAGTATGATAATATAATATTGAAATTTGAAATCATACTCTTTGTCTATAAGTTTTCTTTTATATTAATCTTCTATATTAAATAAGATATTTACTTATTTGATTTCTCATCTTATCTCAAGAAAAAGTTAAATAAAAATAAACTATTCAATGAAAAACAATATTCTATAGAACAATAAACAACTTGTCGTTGTCACTATTCATGTCGAATAAAATATAATATTTATTCTTTTTTTTTTCAAAAAGACTCAATGATAGTTTCGCTAAGAATTCAATAAATAATGTGCATTTTGGAAGTAAGCATTATTATAATTAAACATTTTATGTTTAATTGTTCGATATGATCTATTTAAAAAGTGAAAGAAATTTATAACTTTGAATAGTAACATCTATATATTGAAAGGCAAAATCAGATCAAATATAAAAATCTTCAAATCATAACTTTGTTATCGATTTTTTCTTAGCTTTTGAAGAAAATCTTGACAAAATATTGTAAAACTTTCTGCATATACAAATCTTGAGATTAGAGTAAATGTTCTTATCGATTGAAAATCTGCAAATGTTTATCCTTGAAATTGCAAAAGATTGTGAAAAAAATGAACTAAAAACGTTCTCAAGTCTTTTTCCTTGAAAAAAATCCCTAACTTATTGTTTGAGGATCAACTTGAGATGTACACATAGTTTTTCTATGGAATATATTCTTCCTGAAGTTCAATGAAACCGAGATACTTAAGGTACTATAAAAAAACGATTGAAATATGTTTTTGTTTTCGTTGTTGGTACACGATTTTTGTTAAATTATTTACCTATGAGGAAACAAAATTTTTTAGAAAATAAACACGTTAGTTTGACTAATAAATCTATAAAAAATTTCAGTTGACTAAGAAATACCATTTAGGAGAATATTTTAATTTTTTGTTCGAATGACTCAATTTCAGTAGAATTCGATGTTAAGATTTTTCTTGTGTATTTATTTAGTTTTTTTTATTCTTTTGAATTTTTTTGTATACGTAGAAAAATTTATGGATAAAGACTATTTAAGTGTGTATATTAACCATAACGAAAAGTAAAAGAACAAAAAACTAAAATATTTAAGTCGGAAAAGATAAATTCTCTTAAACCATGATTTATAGAAATCAGTTTGAAAAGTGACTCAATATTTATCTTTTTTGTGATTATAAAAAGAAATTTCAATGAGTTAGATTGCTTAAAATTGTTTTCGACTTTATGAATATTCTCGCTAACAAAAATGGCATCACACACCGAAGAAAATATTTCAATTGTCTTATTTATCCTTATTTAAAAAAATCAAATTCTTTTTCAAATTGCTAATTCAAGTTAAATAAAGAACAGAATATGTAGCTAGGTGAATTATTAAATCTATATCATTTATTTTTTCAAAATAATAATATATTTCTATTATTGAAAACTCAATATTGTTTCTTTAAAGTTCAATGGAGATCTATAGAATATGTAAGAGATGTATTAAGATAAGAGAGATCTTTCAGAATAACTAATTCACAAGTTCATTATTGACTTATTAAGACTATTTTAAATGAGTTCATTGATCATTATAGTCTAGTCAATAACAAAATACTTCGAAGATCATCTGTAGTTTATTCGAAATAATATATGGAAAAAAAAGTTCGCGACAATTTTTCTATCAATATATTTTTGCAACTACTTGAGCAATTTTAATAAATAAATTGTTCTTTGTAAATTTTAGAGCTTTTCACAATATATCTTGTGGTATACTTTATTTTTGTTAATAAAATGTATTAGGTGATGAAAAGATGAAATGAATTATTCGTGTAGAAAAAAAATGATCTTTTCACAGTATCGAAAATAAGTCGCACAGAATTTTGCTTTTTTTTGAAAACAAAAAGTACACAATTAAAACGAGCTTTACTTTGTCGATTGTAGAGCTTTTCACGTTATATCTTGTGACATATTTTGCTTTTTAATACAACGTATTAAGTGATGCAAAATGCGGTCGCTTAATCTGTCTCAACATGCGTTTTTGGAGAACCAAAAACGCATATAACAAACTTCCTTTATTGAGTCTCTTATTTCTTGAGCTAGAACCTTTATTTTTACGTACACAATAAATACACTTTAAAATGCTCTTTAAAATGACTATGTATTTGTTGCAATTACTTAAATGGCTGCAAAAATACATCGATTACAAAAATTCTCAGAACTTTTTTCTGTACCTAACGTTAACAAATGTTAAACATTAATTAAATATCGAAAAATAATATTTGATTAAAATTATTTTCCGAAAACTATTATTTTATCAATTATTATTTACAGTATAGTCTTAGCCAAAAAAAACTTAAGCTTTCAAAAGATTTTATCTTGCTAAAAAAAAGCGTTCTCAACAATAATTTAAACTTTTTAAATTATAAATTAAAATCGAAAAGACGCCATACCTGTCCCTTTTTAAGACCCCAAGTTCCTCCAGATTCAAGATCAGTAACTGGTCTCTCAACCAAAAATTGATGTGGTCGAAATTCGACATGAGCACCTAGAGCATCACCTAAAGCCATTCCTATGATTGAGCCTTGAATACGATTCAAAATTTCGCTGTCAATTTTATCAGTTGGTTCATTCATTTCATCTTCAATTTCGTCAGGCTTCTTTATTGATAATTGTCCTTTGTCATGAAATTGAAGATTAAGCCAATTTTTATCTGCAAATATCAATTTAATACTTAAATAATTATATATTCGTTTTGCCATTTATTAAATAACTAAATTATTCACTCTACTTCTTCTGCAGTATTTGGTTAATTAGAAAAAAAAATAAAGCACTATCCTCTTTTTTCGATATTCAAAAAGGATGAAAAGGAAACGACATTTTTAATAAAAAAAAGTGCCCATTCAAAATAAAAAAAAATTCTGGTCACTGACCTGTACGAAACTGACATGCTGGATGACCCGAATTACTTGATGTAATAGGTGATATCGGACAATTTTTCGGTTGATCAGCGGTTACTTTAGCATGATCAGTCATTGAAACGTCTGTCATGTCAACATCAGATGTCGAAGACTTCGACGAATAGTCAACTGAAGTTTTCGACTGATCGTCAGTTAGTTGAGTAGTACTATTTGTTGAAGCGTCTATCATGTCAGCATCAGATATTGAAGGATTCAATAAACGGTTAGCTGAATCATTTCGAATATCATTTTGAACTGTTGGACTATCAAGACAAGAAACATTTGAGTTTTGATTGTTGACTAAAATAACGAAAAAGTATTTAAAGAATCCGAATCATACATGTTAATTGTCAATAACAAACAACGTTTAAAAAAATGGAAACACATTGATAATTACCAGAAAGGACTGCTGTAGTCGCCATAGGATCAGCGTCGTTCGAATCATTTTTATTATTCTGGCTGGTAATTTCAACATGTTCTTCCTTAAGTGATTGATCGGTGTTCTTATTATTGATGGTTACAATCGTTTGTTGATCATCATTCAATTGAGTTTTTATAAAAGGAACATTAGCATCTGACTGAAGACTATCTTTATTCGAAACCATAATGTCATCACTAGAGTTTGCGTCGATCTTTGCTTCCTTATCATTATCGGACATCATTTTCGATGTTGTTCTCATGTGTTCATCCATATCTCCCATATTCGCATCAGCACTTGTACAAGGTTTACTGTCATCTACAGTTTCACCAGTAGTTGTTGGCAACTGTGAATTTGTAGGTGGTGTCGTAGGAGTATTTGTGACATTATCGTTGCATTCTCCTTGTTGTAAAGATGACTCGACACGATTGCTTGAAGTATCGCTGCAATTTCTATGTTCGGTTGCAGCAATATTGGGATCTGTACTCATGCTCATGTTTTCTGTTTTCAATAAAACTAAACAGATCTAGAATAAATCCATATCAATAGAAATTAACTTAATCAATATGATTTTTTAAATCATAATAGAAAAAAAATTGATTAATCTTTGAAAAACAATTCTTTTTTTCTTTGTATTTTGAATTGACTTGAATTTGAGAAAAAAGTTAAAAATGATTCGTTCTTGTTTGCAGTCTTCGTACTGTCATGAATAACATGTTACATACAATAATAAAAATCTTTTTTATCTTTATTCTGCGTCTGTACTCCTAACTGAAATTACCTGAATTTATTTTTTTTTCCGTTCTCTTAGTGAATGTGACCTCGATAAAGGAGCAGCCCATTAACAACAATCTTGATTATCAACGTCTAAAAAAAAAGATTAGCGAGTATCAGCGACACATCTGAAAGAAGCTCGTCAACAACAAGAACAAATATTCTTTTGATGTTCCGCGAAAAATGATAAATAACACGTGAAAAGAAAAAAATGTCCTCGAGAGCAAACAAAAATGCGTAATTCAAAGTCCATTCTTATTCAACAAGAACTATAACAGTATCGCATCTTTACAAAAAAAAAAGATACGTAAACTTCATATATTATCAAAGGTCGAAAGTTTTTTATTTGTCAATTTTAAATCTCGACTCATATAACTGACGACTTAACCTGTAATTGACTATTAATCATATATCTTTAGTATTTCCTGAAAATTCAAAAATCAAACAAATTTCATAACTTTTACCTTAGAAACAGAAAAAAAATTGTATTTTGGATGAATAAATGAACATTAATTTGAATGTATTGCAATTTAATTGATGAAAAAGACTATTTTAATCAAGTAAATGCAATGAATTTCATGCTTAATCAAATTCACTGAATTATTTTGATGAAAATAGTCATTGTAATTAATGAAATTGAAATATATAAAATGAATGTTCATTTCATCGTAAAAATGTTATTTTTGTCAGTCACTGCATTTATTTAGACACTTGAATTTTTTAATAGAATTCATAATATAATAATATCAATAGAAAATATTATAAGAATTCATTTGATTTTTTTATTTTAGATTAACTTAAAACGAATTATTCTTTGGTAACTTTTGATGTATTTGAAGTATTTATCGAATAACTTTCGATAGATCAGATGGAAATAATAATTGATTGAATAGAATGAAAATATTTTCAATTAAAATTGTTTTTATAAACAAAATAAATAGTAAAAACAAAACCTTCTCTTATTGTATTTAATGATTATAATTATTAATAAATAAAAGAAATAATAACCGTTAATAAATTTCCGCTACAGTGTCTTGTATATGAGGAGTTAATATACTTTGTCAAAGATGAAGACAAAAAAACGGAAATGATTCTAATACTCGGACTGGTTATTTACAGGTATCGAATACGAGCCTTTTAATTAATATATACAATTACTCAATATGAGATTGTAACTTAATAACGTTAATGACAATTCATCATAAAAAATATTATTTATTCAAAAAAGAAAGAACAAAAAAACAAGATTTTTCTTCTCTTACTTTTTTATATGTTGAAATAT